TGAAGTTGTCTTGTTGTTGGCTCAACAGTGTGGTGTACATCTGCTTCTGCTGACTCAACATCTCTGTTACTTGCGCCGCTGAAATATAATCCTCTTCTGCTTCAACATCCTCGTTCGCTTCTGATTTATTAGCTCTTTTCCCTCTTGTAGGCATTTTAGTAGTTGTAGAATTTGTTCAAAGACTTGAAAATGTAGAAGATGTGAAAAATCGTAGAACAGACAAGAGGAGCAGTAAAGACGTCTGCTCTCGCTTGCAACCCGGAAACCTTGACTGCACTATGTTTTTGAGCCCATTTGACACCTTACTCCATACTCTCTGTTGCTCTGACACATAGTGACACAAAGCACTCAACTCTAGCATCAACCAAAGGATGAAGACAAACACTTTTTAATTGAGAGCTGGACATTAATATAGATTTTACTGTTGCTGGTCTGGTTGGCACTGCAGGTCATCAATCTTTCTGTTACATCAGCTTCTTGGTCCACAGTAAGATGGACACTCACAGCCACAACGGGGCAATCATGTTTATTTTGGAATTCTGACCTATGGGGGCCCCTCAGGACAAAGCACATAGAAAGGTCAAGGCACAAATATCACAAAAAGTATGACTTCTGTATGTGTTTTCAGATTTGCAGTGCATTTCTGGCCACAGTAACTGTCACATCCCTCAAAGTCACATCCCTCGAAACACAGGCCGAGGTGGTGGCGTGGCAGGGATCTTTGACTCAAGCCTATTAATCAACCCTAGACCTAAACATAGTTATAACTCATTTGAAAGTCTCACCCTGAGTCTCTCACACCCAAACTGGAAAACTCAAAAGCCTGTTCTGTTTGTTATTGTATACCGTCCACCTGCTCCTTATTCAGAGTTTTTAAGTGAATTCTCAGACTTTCTGTCTGATTTAGTGCTTAGTACAGATAAAATAATCATAGTAGGCGACTTTAATATTCATGTAGATGCCGACAATGACAGCCTCAACAATGCATTCTGTTCATTATTAGACTCAGTTGGCTTCTGTCAAACTGTAAATAAACCCACTCACTGTTTTAATCACACTCTTGATCTTGTTCTGACGTATGGCATCGAAACTAAACACTTAATAGTCTTTCCTCAAAACCCTCTTCTGTCTGACCATTTTCTAATAACTTTTGAATTTACATTAATGGATTATTCTTTATGTGGGAAACAGTTTCACTACAGTAGATGTTTATCTGACTATGCTGTTACCAAGTTTAATGGGCATTCAGACTGAGTATGGTAAATGCATCTCTCTGCTGTGTTTTTATGCAAGAGGCTGGTTTGGTCAAGGGGGTGAGAGGTTGCAGGGGGAGTGTTGTAGGCGTCTACGATACAATGCCAAGTTGGTGTACATGGCTTCATTAACATTTCCTGCTCACAAGTTTCCTTTGTGTTTTGATTAGCCATGCTACTAATGTAGCCTACTCTACGTTAGCACTGGTTTCTACTACCAATGTGTTGGCACTGATGGATAAAAACATGTTTAATGCCCAGTACCCTAATTAACATGAATGCATGTTGTTTCATTATGCTGTTTTTGGAACTGTGACCCAAATTCGAGACCGAAAAGCAGTGAATGCTCATGCTAACAAGGTAAACAAAAGAGTCTTCTTCCCATGTGTAGTCATGTTCTGACCATCCCCCATACTGTATGTGATTGCTCAGCATAGTGCCTTTGCTGGATGATGTCACCATCCGGTGTAGAAAAAGTTGTAACAGACTCAAATGTTGCCGCCCGGGGCTGCATCATTTTGCTGGAGGCCCCTGCAGTACTACTGTTGGCTGCAGTAAACAAAATGCCCCTTAGATATGAATGGGGAGGACTGCATTTTTTCATACCAAAAAGATTTTCAGGAGAGTGTTACAATAAGTTGTTCCTTTGGGCACAGAGGCTGCCATTGCTGGTCCAAAATGATCAGTCTGTTCTGCCTCTAGTATGTAATCTGCTGTTTATGCTAGCCAACAAAAACTTCACTGACTACTGTTGTTTAAAGAGAGCGATGGATGAATTCCTACCTCTTTATGGTGGATGCCAGTGTATTGACAGGGTTCCATGCCACACAGTCCAACTGAGAGGTCATTTGATATAAATTGTCTCCGCTGTGGAGGAAAGACAAAATGTAGAAGAAAAGCTCATGAGCTGTGCAGTGGGTTAGCAGGAGGAGCTGACGTTAAAGAATGAGCCTCAGACCGACACCAAGAAAGCTAAATTCTCCCATAATAGCCAACTTTCATTAAAAGCAGCAGAGTCCACAGTCATTATTTCAACCTGCCGTGTGATTAAATACATTGCCGCAAACAGGTGCACACACACACACAGAGGCACACACATTTTCTTACACACTAGATTTATGGTTCTCATCCCCTAAGACCACAGTCCCTCTATCACAGCAACTGCAGGCTCACAGCAGTCTGGACAGGGTAGGTGCTGTGCCTGGTACCCTGCTCATTATGCTGCTATTATTTTACAGAGGAGCAGGGGCACACAGCCAGCAGAGCACAACCCCTGTCTCTGCTGAAATATAGCCAGAATGAAGGCTAAGCATAAGATTTAATGCACAGATCCATGACTTTTCAAATAAATGTCTGCTTTCATTTTCTTGATTAATTATTGATTTCTGAAAGTTATCTTGGTCTTAATTTTCTGCCTTAAACATCCAACATGTTGTGCAGTACATCTTTTCTTGGAACCCCTCTAATGGCCATGGTAGTTTTTGTCATATTTATCCAGGTTTTGAAATATTTGTCCTTGACTCACTGTGTTTCTGTAAAAACTTTTTATAGGGAGAAACAAGGCAAAACAAGTTCTAGTGTTTACAGATATGTCTGTTGTTATTCAGAAAAACAACTACAGTATTCACTTCCATAGTATTCTTCGTGGCTAGATATTGTACCACTAACACTTTTTGAATAAATCTGGAGTATCTGCACTAAAAACAGCAGCCTGCTGTTTTTCCTAAAAGGTAGGGTTGGCAACCCTGGATAAACCAGCAAGAGGAAGCTTGATTTTGAAAGTAGACAACAGAAGACAACAGTTTTGTTCTGTCTTCTTTCCAAAGCCACTCCTTCAAAACACTAAAACATTGCCTGACTACTTATTAGGACTGGAGAATTGTCAGGCACAAATGTCACACCCGATGGCGCAAATGGGCTTGCACTGAAGGCACGACAATATCTGCCTCCTCCTCCGGGAACAGAGGCGGCTGGTACCCCAGAGAGACCTCGAACAGGGCCCAACCTGATGCTAAACTGGGAAGAGTATTATGCGTATACTCCACCCAAGGAAGAAGAGTGCTCCAGATGGTTGGCTCAGTCCCGTGACATATCGAAGGGTAACCTCCAGCTCCTGATTAAGGTGCTCTACCTGCCCATTTGTCTGGGGATGGAAGCCTGAGGACAGACTGACCTTAGCCTCCAGGGCAGAGCAGAAAGCTGTCCAGACTTGAAACACAAACTGAGGTCCTCAGTCCTAGACGATGTCTGCTGGGTTTTGGTGGATCCTCAGGATGTGATAGATGAGGAGGTCAGCTGTCATTCGGGCTGAAAGGAGCTTGGGTAGTGCCACAAAATGGGCTGCCTTGGGGAACTCTTCCACTATGATCAAGATCACAGAGTTAGCCTCGAATGGGGGAAGCCCTGTGATGAAGTCCGAGGCTATATGCAACCAAGGATGACTAGGGATGGGGTCCAGCTGGAAGCTGATGTAGTGGCTTAGCTTGGGCACAGGTGGGGCAAGCTTGGATGAATTCACAGGCATCCTTCTCCAGGGTTATCCACCAGAAATGACAGTTTAGTAGCGAGGTGATTCGGTGGATTCCAGGATGTCAGGTCAGCCGAGAAGCATGTGCCTATTGAAGTACCTGGGAGCGGACAGAGTCAGGCACAAACAGGCAGTCCAGTGGACCCCCACCCGGGTCTGGTTGGGATTGTCGGACCCTCCTAATGGTGTCCTCGATGTTCCAGGTGACTGTGGCTATCACGCAGGAGGGGGGGGCATGATGGGTTCCAGAGTGATGGTTTCCTGCATGGATCTGAACTGGCAGGATAGGGTGTCTGGTTTCTTATTACAAGAGCCAGGCCTGTAGGTCGAAGTGAAATTAAAGCAGCCAAAGAAAAATGCCCAATGAGCCTGACGAAGATTTAGCCGCTTGGCTGACTGAAAGTAAGCCAGGTTCTTGTGGTCGGTCCACACCAGGAACGGTTGTGTGGACCCTTCAAGCAGGTGTTGTCACTCCTCCAGTGCTAGCTTGATGGCAAGTAGGAGCATGGTCCTTGGTGGACCGCTGGGACAGAACCACCCTGACCCCTGTGTCAGATGCGTCCATTTCAACGATGAACTGCCATTCCGGGTCGGGCTGAACCACGTTAACAATTCCTTAAGGTGTAGAAAAGCCTGTTCTGCCTCTTGGGACCACACGAACTTCAGGGACGTTGATGTCAGTTGAGTGCATGGAGCCACCACTAAGCTGTAACCCCGGATGACGTGACGATAAAAATTGGTAAAGCCCAAGAAACATTGGAACTCCTTCTGGGTGCTTAGCGTAGGCCAATCAGTGACAGCTTTGACCCTTCTTAGGGTTGTCTTTGATCCGCCCACTCTTGATAATGTAGCCCAGGAAAGACACTGTGTCTATGTGGAACTCACACTTCTTCAATTCCACTCCAGCAACCAGAGGAGCACCTGCCTGATGTGTTGGACATGTTCTGCTTGGGGCTGAGAAAATATGAGGATGTTGTCAAGATACATGAAAATAAACCTGTTCAAGAAGTTTCTTAACACATCATTGATGAGGGCTTGGAAGACAGTCAGGGCATTAGTGAGACTGAATGGCTTCACCAGGTACTGAAAGTGGCCCAGAGGTGTCTTGAAAGCCATCTTTCATTCGTCTCCCTCCTTGATCCCCACCAGATGGTAGGCATTTCTCAAGTCCAGTTTAGTGAAAATGGTTGCTCCCTGGAGTGACTCAAATGCAGAGTGGAGAAGTGAAAGGGAGTACTTATTTTTGATTGTGATATTGTTAAATCCTGATAGTCTATGTATGGCCTGAGACTGCCATCCTTCTTGCTCACAAAACCCCCCCTGCCCCAATTGGTGAGGATGAGGGGCAGATAATACCTGCTCTTAAAGAGTCTCTGATATAGTCCTCCATAGCTTGTCTTTCAGGTTTAAAGATGTTATAAAGCTTGCTTGATGGAAAAGTGGCCCCAGGCAAGAGATCTATGGCACAATTGTATGGTATCTGAGGTGGTAGGGATAGGGCTAGGTCCTTATTAAACACCTCACCCAGGTCATGATATTAAGGTGGGACATTGGACAGGTCTGGTATTCGAGCAGAGAGGGGTGGTTGAGCTGATCTCAAGCAAGAGGAGGAGCAGGTGGGACTCCATCTAGTGGTAATGCCCATCTGCCAGTCGGTCTGGGGATTGTGAATCTTGAGCCAGGAATGACCCAAGATTAATGCAGATTGAGGAGATCTGAAGATTTTAAAGTGCAGGAGTTCCTGGTGGTTGCCTGAAATGACAAAGGTGACTGGTTGGGACTGATGGTTGTTGCAAGCTAGGAGTTGACCACCAAGGGGATTGGCTATCAGGAGGCGTTTGAGAGTTTCAGTGGTGAGACTTAATTGGGTGGCTAATTCTTGGTCCATAAAACAGTCAGCGGCTCCCGAATCAATCAGTGCGATGAATGGGCGTGACTCATGTCCAATACCAGGCGCTGAAGACAGGTATTCTTCTTTGGGGAGGTAAGAATGACCTGCCAATACCCCCACACTTATTGGCGAGTCAGATCTTATGAGTGCCCCAACTGACCATGGTAGAGGCAGGTACCCGTTCTTAACCAGCAAGCCCGCTCACTAGCTGACAATGGTGCCTTACCTAGCTGCACAGGCTCCTCAGTATTGTGGACATGAGGTGGGGTCAGCCTGGCACATATAGTGACTGAAGCCCGGGAAGGCCCGATACTGCTAGAGCTGCAATGCATGGTTTGAGGGTAACTGGGACAAGAGGCTTGCTTGTGGTGGCATTCCCGCAGACGGTTATTCAAGCATGTGGCTAACGAGATGAGGGAATCTAGATCTGCGGGTTCATCCCAGGCCACGAGCTCGTCTTTGATTGAGTCTCCTAGACTATTCCAAAAAACCCTGCAGAGGGCTTCATTGTTCCACCCCGCATCGGCAGCCAGAATACAAAGCTCTGTGGAAAATTCTGCAACACTACAGGCCCCTTGTTGCAAGGCTGTGGATTCTGAGGATGGTCCAGGGGAGATTAATGACATGAGGGCAGCTAGCTGGTGAGAAAACTGAATAACCTGCTGGGACAAAGACTGAGTAGCTTCGGCCTGTAAACTATGGGAGTGGTCTAGATGTCTCAGCAGTCCCCCATAATGTGTGAGGTTGGACTGAAAAGATGATTGTCCAGAGTCTGAGTCTCCAGAGTGCATTCTTGGCCAGTCCTTTCTGTTAGGATTGGTGGATTCTCAGGCTAAACTAAAACAATGGTGGACTCAGAAGGCAAGACAGAACCAGGACAACTGGTAATTTATTAGTTTTCACAAAGATGTGAATGAACTACAGGTATTTGGAGACTCCACTTGGTTAGAGAGGAGTGCCCCAGCATGAGCTATAGCTTGTGGTTTGGAGGGAGTTCAGAGTTGGCAAGGCTAGGTGGGTAGGCAGGAGAACTGGTGAGGAGTTGGCCTGGGGCAGAGTCATTGGTTCAGGAGCACTGGGAGCCCACCGGTGGGTTGAGCAGGCTGGCAAGCAGTTGATGTGGTGAGAGTTCCAGGAACAACAGGTGAGTGGTTGGTGAGGCTGGCGCACCAGGAACCAACAGGTGAGAGAACAGGTGCTGGCGATGAGGAATATTCTCCTGCCTGTTAAGTAGGTACAAGATGATTAGTTAATCTGTCACTACTTGAGTCTGCAGCGCCTGAACAGCACCTGCCTGGCAAGAATGAGAGTGAGAGGCAAGGAGAGGGAGAGAGACAGGGAGAGAGAGAGGGAGCTGCCTACTACTTACAGATTTCAGGAAAATAACAAATGCCCCCCAAATCAAACAAAACCGATAATTACGTGTCCAGCAGAAATACGGCCACTATGGCCTCACTTTTCAGCCCCTTTTGTTCCCTCAGTTGTGAAAATTGTTCAAAAGCCACACTAATGCTAATTCTGGTTTTACTTTCTGCAACATCCAGCTTCTTTTCAGTTGTAATTTTCTCAAATGCAGTGCTACCCACTCAGACCTGCAGCCCCGATCCATAGTTGGGGGCCTGTGGTTTATGGTTAAACTGCTTTAGCCCTGGCTCGTAGCGATAACTAGCCTTTGAAGTCCGGGCTTTTCTGGTGGGGAGAAGTGAACAGGGAGCCCATCTCACTACATTCAAAACACAGGCTTTACTCTGCCTTTATTCCACCTTGGTAAAATGAACACTGCATGTGTTAACTGCATTACAATCCCATCTATACAGTTAGAGCTGCCTGCTGTCTGGCTGCATGTAAAAGAAGTCTGTTCTCGGCGACAGTGTTCTCACTCTCACACTATGTCCGAAATGGGAAAAACTGGCCTGTAACAATGGTCTCCTTTTGAGAATGAAAGCTGCTGTGGGGACCTTCTCTGCCATAGCTCACTAGCTTTAACAATCAAAACAGTGGTAACACATCAGCCTGCACCTTGTGGGAGGCTTTTGGCTCACACACACAGTGCACAGGCAGGGTGTGCCAAATAGGAAGTAAGTTGACAGGCAGGTGAGCCATCCAATGGTTTTGCTTGGGATGAATAAAATTATTGGTCAGACATTTTTCAGCCCTGCTGCTGATCTGTTTCTTTATGTTTTCAGTGCATTTAATGTTTTCATTGCCATAAGAATGCAAAGAGAATTTCAAGATATGTAACAAAAAATGCTTCTGGAAGGAATCACCAACCCTACTTTTAAGCCAGAAATGACATCAAGTTAGTCTAGTTAATGTCTAGTTACTGTACATCTACTGAGCTGAAGTTACATACAGGAGAATATTCCTGAGCTGAGTTACCAAGGCCTCCAATACTGGCCAACCTAGGACTTCCTGAGGTTTCTCTTCCCACTACCCCACAGGGCGACATCAGCAGCCCTTCAGATGTCAGAAAACAGGATGTGTTTATATTTCAAATAATGTTGGCTAGATATTTTCCTCCCATTGCTTATGATTAGAATTAACAGTTGTTATGCTTATTAATGTATTGATTTGTTAAAAATGTAACTTAAAATCAATTTTAAAATGTAAACCAAAAAAAGGCTTCTCTGTGTTCACTGCTGACTGTTTGATACAATACAGCAGCTAGTCAGGTTACAGTGTGCCTCTCCACTCTGTGCCTAAATACTTTCAGGCGTCTCTTAGTGTTTGGTGCTTTGATAAGACCCAGTGTGTGTGTGTGTGTGTGTGTGTGTGTGTGTGGGTGGGTGGTTGTGTGTCTGTATGGATTAATAAAATCTCAGCATGTTTTCGTTTCATGCTGTTCCAGCGAACCAAACTGACTGCCTGCAGAGTAAATACAGTCCTGCTGGTACCAGGATGCGAGATTAGACAACTGACTCAACTCCTATGAGCCTTCGCAGTTGTGTGTGTGCATTTGCCTGCATGTATTCTCTGTGTGTGCGTGTGCGTGTGCTGAGTAGATATCAGTTGTGTTTATGACAAAGAAGACCCTCAGACTGACACTTTCAGGAGAGCCATATAGCCACACATCTCTCTCTCTCTCTCTCTCACACACACACACACACACACACACACACTAAAACTTTAGTATCCATCCCTGCTGTGGTATTTACAGAGGATTCTTCAGTTCCATCATTGATGGAAAACACAGCGTCAGAGGCATGTGAAGAATGTTTCATTTAGAGACAAAACAACAAGCAAACAGTGTGGACAGTGTGGAGGGGGACCCCCTTAAAATGTCTAGTTTATTAAACTGGGAGCAGGCCTATTAAAACCTGTGTATGATTTATAACTACGTTTATGTTCATGCATGGGCAGTGGTTCCATGCAGTGGAGTTGGAGATTTTGCAGTTTGCAGTCACTCATATCCTGATCAGAATGTGTGCAATGGTTTGCACTATTTTACACTGGTTTGGTTTTGTCCAAAGAGATGTGGAAGAAAGAGCTGAAGTGGGATTGAGAGACAGTCAGAAAGAGAAAGGGTATATTAGGAGAGCAAGTAGAAGGAAAAGTGATCTTTGAAAACTACAGGATTGAGACTGGTAACACAAGGAAGCACACAGGATAAGAGTTTGGAATGAGATTTTCTTCCGCACATTGATGGTTTGACTCGTCTGCATCAATTAGAAGATTGCAGTGAACAAGGAGGAGGAGGGAGGCTGCTACACCAGTGGTTACTCTGTACCAGTGGAGAGTAATGAAAAACCAGTGAGCTGTCCTTGGCTGGTTGAAGACCAGACATGCTGCTGTGCTTGTGTGATTGAGCTTGTTGACCATAAAAAGTTGAATATCTTGCAGCATGTGTCCTTGTTTTCCTATAAATTTGCTTTAAAGGAATTTCAATAAAGTACTGACTGATAAATGGACAAAATGTTGATACTTTGTAGAAAGTGAGCAGTACTTCTTGGGAACATTTGGGTTGTGGTGTGTAGGAGGAAAAGGGAGGATAGGAGGGAATAAAAGGTTAGGATTGGGTGTGGCTGGAGTCGAGCTGGTCAGAGTGACATGTTTTGCTGGGACAGGGGAATGAGGGGGTTTTTGGACTCACAATATTAATTTAACACCTGTATGTTTGTTTTATATGGGTGAATAGTTGGCGTGTGAAGTAAGAGCTTTTCAAGGTGAATATCTCACTGAAGGAGTAGAAACCAACATGTAATGATAAAAGAATCACTCCTCAAAAAAGGGAAGGATGCTCTGATATCACAAGCCATATAATATGATCTTTTGCTGCTTATTTTCCCACATTATTCCAAACAGGCTTTGCCATGTAAGACAGTTCTTCACATGTAAATAATAAAATTGGTAACGAATGATTAATAATGCCTGAGTTTTATTTAGATTCTCTCCTTTCAGGGTCCTGGTATTGATCATGCTGTTGCACTGTCATGACTTACTGGGGCACCCAAATAGATCAGAGCTGTCATTAGTAACACCTGTGCTTTTCATACTAAGATGAGTCAAAATGTTGCCTGTTGAAAAAAGGTCAGTCATTAAATGTTAAAACCAACACTGTCCAAATGGCAAAACAAGCAACAGCACGTAAAGGAGAGTGAACCAACAGCAGAGCTGCTTGGTGGATCAATGTATGGTTGGAAAAAATGGAAAGATGCCAGTTATAGCTGTGGTTTACTCTCAGCAGATTGTAGTTGAGTGGAAATATTTGTGAAGTCTCATTCATCTACTGCAAATCTGTCTGTGTAAGTTTGTGCAAATCACAGACTGATTTTAACAAATGGCTTAATGTGACTCAGCCAAATGAGAGACTGTCTGTTCTCACTGCAGGTTTTTACTGTATATTATATGTTAATGTCATTTGTTTTTCCCTGCTTAATTAAAAGAACTGTCTAAAATGTACAGTAATTAGAAAACCCTTTGATAGCTTGATTGATTCTCTATCAGATGTCTATCAAATATGATTATATTATATTATATTATAACAGGTGCACCAGTGTGGTACAATAACGTTGCATAAAACTACTTAAAATCTTATTCTTCTCTTCAAATATGTGGAAAGAACTTTTGTCAAAAATATGAAAGGCATGTATTCTCAAAGCTTATCATCTGTCCTGAAAATAAAATAAGATAAAAGTACACTATCCAAATATCCACAATATATTTTTATCAACCCACTTTCTATCAGATCTTCCTGTTACTGTTGATTAGCGCCATGATGTTCGTACAGTCCGTGTGGTGTGCATAAAGCTACCAATCAGCAACATCAGATGCTAGAGCTTCAGAACAGTGTCGGGGAGAAAACTACCCTTCTCGTGTTAGAGTCAGCACAAGTGAAACACCCCAAAAGCACCCAGAGGAAGGAGAACAAAATTAGAATGGAAGCTGCGGTGGCAGACAGACCTGTCCTGAAGGTGAACATCCTGTTCACATCCTGTTACCTTTCACTGAATTACTGCTGTTTGACACGGAACAGCCAACAATGGTGTCTGAAACCTTTCCAGCTTTAGTTCTGTCCACTTGTTTGTTATAAAAATAGGTTTTGAAGACAGCATGCTATGCATGTACAAGGACTGTGTGTAAAAACTGTGTATGTGTGTGTTACCTGTTGTATGGGTTTCTCAGCAACAAGGCCTGGCTGCCTGTACAGCTGTCTGAGGGCGTGTGACATCCATAGACAGGAGGAGGTACGGGATACTGCTGCTCACCTATATCGCCCACACACACACACACACACACAATTACAAAACATACATGCAACTACATCTGAGCCTCTGTATGCAGCAGTAAGTCTAAAGATGAGCACTGTTCTGCCCTCTCCTATTTTCTCTACCTCGCGTCATGTTACTCTCTCTGAGCTTCCTCAACAGTGTAGTGAGTGGCTCCCTTGACATTTTCCCACTTTCAAAAATCCCTCTCAGCTCCAATTCACCCAGTAATTTTTGCTTAAAATTTATAGCGGCACCTTCACAACGCACACACACACACACACACACACACACACACACTTAAATGTTTACCAATAACATGTACAGAGGTGGGATTAAAAGGAAAGGTGGGTGGATGAGAGAAGGGAGGAAAAGAGGGAGTTTGTAAATCAGGATGTGGCTGATTTATACCTCTGACAGGCAAGGTCACTGTGGAAACATCAGAATAAGGGACAAGACAGTCCCTAAGTGAGGGCCATGGAGCTGCCGTACAGATGCAGCTGTGCACTCACATAGTGCTTTAAATACACGTGAAGATCTTCTTTTGCTCTTACTCAAAAACTTTTTTAAAGATAATGAACTACTGGAAAGATAAAAATAGATCCACAAATTATTTTGGATGAAATATATGTTTTCCAGATTTATGCAGGAGGAGTGAGATGAAAGGAAACGCCCTGAGTCTGGTATCGGCAGAATAATTTGTAAGACTTTTGTTAAAGGTTATGTTGCAAGTACATTTAAACCCACTTTAATGTTGGAGGAAAGGAGCAGTTGGTCAAAACAGAAGTGAATGTAACTATCTGCTTTACTATTAAAACACGTCATAGCAGTTGGACGGACGCATCTAAACAGACAAGACGCAACTAAACAAAGACAGCTTAATGCGCTGTTCATAATCAAATTATAATTAATTTTAAGACAAAATAATACATACAGTATTGCGTGTTGATACTAACCCTCACATTCCCTAAACATTATCCAATTTAAGAGTGCAAAAGTATTTCTATAATTTAAGTTCAGAAAAAAGGCATAAAAGGCCTTTTTAGCTTGAAAACATTAAAGCCCCTTTCTCCGACTCACTTCTTCTGCAGTTACTGCTTTTGTAGAACACAAAGAGACACAGAGAGACACAAAGAGTTGTGTCTGAAAGAAAAATTCCCTTTAATAACACTCACAACAGGTTTGTTATGTGGAGAGACAAAATATTTGTCCTTTACTGTATATGAAGGGGTGTGAGTCAGACACATTCAAAGACTGAATCCACATAGTGCTGACATACTCAAACACATACAGTAGACACACCCACCCATAGTGTTCTGCTGAGTTAAAGCATCTTCATGTTTGAAGGAGTGGTTGGAGAACTGTGAGCTGTGGTGCGTAGGAGTGTGACCGTAATTACCGGCTCCATCGAACGCAACCGTGCTGTAACCTGCAACACAGAAACACAAAGCATTAAGCTCCCCACCAGGCCATTTTCAAATATAACCCATCAGAAAACATACATTACTCTCTTAACACTCAAACTGATAACTCACTTCTGTAATTATATGATTAGATCACCAGCTGCAATCGCACAACACTGGTGTCATTTCCCCTCTAATTTAACAGTGGTATTCTCACTCATAACAACTATTAAATTGTTCCAAATCTGGATATAAATTTGGATTTGTCTTTTTGTGTGTGTGACATAGTCAAATGACTGAAAAAGTAGGAAGTAGTAAAAAAAAAACAATATGCTTAAGATTAGATTTGCAGAAAAGTTGCTGCTTTTGAACAGAGCAGAAGAAAGTTGTGTGATGTGATTCTGATCAGGTCAAAGACTCACAATAAACTTTGGTTTCTCTCCATGGAAAATCTGAAGAATCTGCTGCATATTAGACCTCAGACGTCCTTTACCCCTTCTGACCCACAGTTAAACACAGGCAATGGATTAACTGGACATGAAGATTTGTTTTCAAAACTGCTTTAGAGACACTGGGATTTCATTTTATCATTGTCAAATTAATTCACCTGGCAACCTACAAAATATAGTTAAATATTTATTCCAATCTCTTTTGTTTTTTTTAATGGTAGCAAATTTTTGCAACCCATTTTTGTAGTAATGCAGTACTGCAGCTTCTATATTTTCCTTTGAAGGGTCTATAAGCAAAGCAAATGATACTTCAAAATGGTGATACAACTGAGATCAGTTACATAGGTAAAAAAAAATACCCATTATGAATCAGGCCTCATAAATGTGCACCCACATGAGACTCACACACAAACACACAATGGTGTTTGGAGGAGGCCTGATCAGTGTCTGACACCCCAAACCAGACCTGACTCATGATTCAGGCTGCCCTAAAGGGCACAACACACTCTCATAAATCATCCACATACATGGACACACACACACACACACAGTCTCTCACTCTCACGTACATGCTTTATTAATTAAAAACAAGCACTTTCACCAACTTTCCTCTGTGAATCGGTGGGTGAGGAAGACTCATCAAGCTTTCCATTTATCTTCCGCTCACCCCTGTGTGACTCCTCTCTCTCTTTCACTCTGTGTGTTTTTGTGTAGGATTTTGTT